CACAAAAAAGTGACATTTCTGTGAATATCTGGGAACATTAATTTTATGTGAATAAAGGCAAAAACCATTGTTCTTAATATATTTATTTTTTTAGGTTGAATGTATCATGATGTAATACTGCATTATGGCCACTAAATGGAGTTGAGAAGCATATGAAATGAATAGTGCAAAGTAAATCCAAAACTCTGTCATTGTATAAGGCCAGAGTCAGGGTTGACATATACAAACGGGAAAAAACAAAAGAACATCAACGTTTTTTACATACTCATTATTTTACTCTATAAGGAATATATTTTTCCCATATTGCTACATTATCAGCAGTACAAACAGTGTACTCATATTTTAATTACTATTTAACAAGGTACTACCTACATATTATTTTTTCCATTAAAAAATCCATAGTATTTTTAATATATTTTACATCTGCATGTGAATGGCATCTGCTTACAGCAGAACTTCAGCCCTGCATACACAGTCGTAATACATATAAGTGAGCAACTTTTTCCCACCATTATAAGTGTTTTTAATCTTGTTAATTTCGTGATTCACGCATTCAACAACATTACAGGAAATGCTTCATGGTATAATTATGGAGGTTGCCATTTTTTATTCTCAAAAGGTAGTTGTCTGGTTACCTGTCAATCTTTTCAAATTGATAATTGTTATATAGGTGCATTTCATGTTGAAATTTAATGAACAACATCCAGTTTTACCATTCTAATACATCGGAAAAAAAAGGGTTGGTAAACACAATGTTTTGGAACACTGTTTATAAATGGTCTTGTGTTTACACTGTATGTTTGAGCCAGGTGCACACACAATGCCTGTAATCACTAGATCACAGACAAAATTAAAAGAGTGGCTTTGTATTATGTAATCGATCTCAAATTAACACGGTGGTAAACACTGTAATGTAAACAAAGATTAAGCCCTAACAGAGTGATCGGAATGTGGAAGCAGATCACTCTGCCATGCCTCTCACATGAAACCTAAAACTTTCATGTATTATAACAAATTCACACAAAAAATTATATATATTTGTTTATTCTTAACTGAGGAGATAGTAAATGTTTACTATGTCCCCAGTTATAAATGAACAGGAAGTGCTGCACATCACTTCCTGTTCCTTCATGACTGAGGAGATAGTAAGTGTTTACTATCTCCTCAGTTTATGAATGGACATGAGGAGCTCTACACAGATCACATCCTGTCCATTCATAACTGGGAAGTTAGTAAACACTATATCCTCACTTTGTGAGTGCTGGGGCTGCAGAAAAGGATATTGAGGACTCAATCTTTTTTCCATCTATTTCAAAAGGGAAATATCAGGGGTTTAGACCCCTGTTTTTTCTGCAAAATATTAAGTAATATTAATACATTTAAAAAGAATAAAAAGAAATAAAACACCCCCCCCCCCATATACAATGCACCATAATGTGGTGGAATTTTGCACATGCACTGTTAGAACACATCACAGTGCTTTTTAAAATAACATTAATTCAACTGCCTGCATCATTTTATTGCAACACAGTCCAACGCAATGGACAACAGCATTGCAGTTCTGGCATTACCACAACACATAGGTATGAGGCCAACCTCCAGATTTTTAGCAAAAGCTGCTTATTCACAAAATAGGGGCAATTTAAAATGTACAAATATTTTTTATTAATTAACGCAATACAACTTTATCTTTTAGATTTAGTAGTAATCTTGTAAATTATGTTTTTGTGTGCACTGCTAATGTTTTAAGTAGGGAAGCACTGATATCGATACTACTCAAATGCTCCGATAGTACTCGCCCAAATGCTCCGATAGTTACCCCCAATACCAGAACTTCCGGTCAGAGGGAAATTTCCTCAGAGTGGCAGTGCCGCAAGGGAACATGGAGCCAGCCGAGCAGCATGGAGCCACCTTCCTGGCCAATCAGGAAACCGGGTGATAGATAACGAGCGGCTCCATGCTCCTGGAAGTACCAATTTCAGTATTCGGTATCAGAGAGTAGCAAAACATAAATATCAGTACTCATACTCGATATCGAAAAAACGGTATCGGTGCATCCCTGGTTTTAAGTGTATTGTTTTCAAAAATATTAACTTGATAAACATTTAGATTGTTGGAATTTTGTACGTTTTGTATTGTTTGTGTGGAATAATAATTTTTTTATTTTTTCCTTTGATAGTATGGATATTTACCTTTATGTATTGTATTAAATGCTAACAGAAAGATAAAACCAACACATATTTACAAAAATAACATCTAAAATATGCAACAGGACATATACCTACGTTCCACGTTTACCTCACAAATAAATATAGTAACAAAAGTAAAGGGAACAAAAAAAAGAAAACATTTTTTTGCAGCAAAGAATGAAGAGCAACTAAGTCCCATAAGATAAGACCTATGAGGAGAGATATAGGCTTCATGATAAACTCTTAATACCATTTCTCTATAAGTGGACACAGTAATTGTATTCCATGCTCTCTTAAAAGCTTGAAGATTTTCAATAGTGGATATATTCAGAAAAGAATTGTTCCACTCTGAGAGATCGGTGAAGCGTGTCACATTGTCCAGATCTAATCTATAGCACCTGTACACCCTAACTATTGCACCCATATTTGGATTAGGTTTCAAAAGAAGCCGATCTAGGGGGTTCTCCCAGTCTGAAGATAAGAGGTTTTTAAGAATATGTATTGCATACGAGCTCATTTGCATAAAAGTAAATAATTCACATTTCATGAATGGGAAACCCTCAGAGACAGCTATAAACGTTAACAGCTTGTGATCAATAGTTGATGCATGGGATTTAACTTTTGATAGTCCCTGAGTTGCCCACTCCTTAAAAAGCTGATTTCTAGATTAATGTAGGAAATGTACATTTCCCAAAAAAGGAAGCCACAGCTAGGAATGATGGTTTTACTGATGTCCATCTCGAAGCTTATGCTATACAGTCCAAACAAAATATAAAAAAGGATTTTAAATAACCTCAAGCAAACATTCTCTATGCAATGGCACCCCAATTTTGCTTTTGGCAGATCTTTCTTACCGCAATCTCGAGATGTGCAGAGCCCTTAAACCTCTTTTGGGAGTTCTACACTCCAACGGCATTACCTACAGATGGGGCTATCCTTTCCACCTGATCGCATCCCGCAATGGAAAATCATCGATCTTTCGCCACCTGAGTGACCTTCCCCAGTTTCTTGGTACCTTCCAACTTACTCAGGTTTCCTTGCCGGATTGGCCCTACAGCACCAGATTTCCTGATGTTCCCGTTCGTGAGCGATGGCAGACGAAATCTCCTCACATATCCGTTTCCTCCACTACTTCGGTCAAGTTATTAATGCGACTGGGGCTCGGTGCCTCTTTCATATCTAAAATAATGGCTCTATACGCCTCCCCTTTTGCACGTGTTTGCGCCAATATCAGACTCTCTGATCCAATTAGGATTTCTAATGGCACCCGTCAGGGATGCCCCCTATCCACCTTACTATATGTGATTACGATGGAGCACTTGGCTTCTGCCATTCGCGCAAACACTTCTATACATGGTATCTCTGTGGGCTCCAGAGAATTTAAATTAGCACTATAGGCTGATGACCTACTTTTGCATTTTACTCAACCCTCCCTTTCTCTACCAGCTTTTCTTCAGGAACTTTCTTCTTTCAGTTCTGTTAGCAATTTCAGAGTGAATTATGATAAAAATGCTCAATATCTCACTAACTAGTCTGATGGTGTCTTCTCTTTGTTCGCATTTCCCTTTCTTGTGGCAGTCCTTCTATCTTAAATACCTTGGTATCAGCGTACCCTCTGAATTGTCCCGCTTGTATGAACTTAATTACTTACCGCTCCTTTCTAAGATGAGGACAGATCCCAAATCCTGGAGATCTCGCCCTCTCTCTTGGTTTAGACGCATAAATGAGATCAACATAACTAAATTTGTATATATCTTTCAAACTGTCCCTATGCGCCTGCCACGCCCTATCTTTCTCAAGCGGTAGCATATATTCCAAACTTTTGTATGGACCCCGGCCGTCTGGGAAAAGGTCTTCATATTTGCACATAAGCTTGCCTTCTCATGCAAACTGCAGGAACGCAACTTCAAACTGCTCTCCAGATGGTACTTCACTCCGGTGCGGCTCCATCATATGTTCCCTTCGGTCTCGCAGACATGTTGGAGATGACAATTAATTTGAAGGTACATACTTACATGTGTGGTGGTCTTGTCCATTGATATGGGACTTCTGGGACAGAGTATTAGCCATATACGATAAAGCACACTCCTTGACCACTAGCAATACCCCTACCCTGACTGTATTGTCTATGTCACCTAGTTCAATCTCGAAGGCTAAGAAATCTGCTTTGCAGTCTTCCTCTTTGCGTCCGGGAAGGCTATCGGGTACCAATCAGCATGTTCCTGATCATGTGACCACTATGTCAGCCATGATATAATGATCACATGCAGACTGGAGGCTTCACTGTAGAAAAACACTGCTACTTTCAGGCTGCAGTGTTCACCTGCAGTGTCATATATTGAATGTTGTATTTAAACTACAATATAAAAAATGTAAACATTAACACAATTTTTTAAGCCTATAATAAAAAGCAGGATTTTCAAGAAAACAGTGTACCAAAAAAGTCTTATGTCCCTAAAAAATTATAAATTATATTACTTATATTATATAAATAGCATGCCGACGTTGCTAAATTTGATCTAGGCATCCAGACATCAATGACGTCAGCACAAAATAGTTAAAGAAAGAAGTGGTATATTAACTATATGGGTCAGCTGTTCCTCACAGGATGGCTTCATTTCAAGAAGATTTTTTTAACACGATGAACCAAAACTTCTCTGGCATGTAATTTTGAATTGTAGCATGTGATTGACTTTTACACACCAATAAACACGGTGATGCTCTAGCAACTGGATCTTAATGTGTATGTTTTAATATATAAGCTTTAAAACATTACCTAATTGTCATGTATTCTTTTTCTTATACTTTAAGGAATGTCCTTGTGGAGTTGTTAATGAAGACACATTTAAACAGATCTATTCACAATTTTTCCCTCATGGAGGTAAGTGATTTTTAAAGAGGGTGTCCTCGGGACATCTATTTAAAGACAAGAATTCAGAAGGTTCAAGATGCCAACCTGGGAACTATAAACCAGTCAGTCTAACATCAATAGTATGCAAACTATTTGAGGGGATGATAAAGGATTATTTAGTGGATTTTTCTTTTTCCCACAAAGTGGGAAAACACAGAAAAAACATCAGTGTCAATGTATAAAAGAGAGAAAAGGCCCTTCATATGTGACATACAGAATTGAAGTTATGGCAAAAGATAAATCACTTGAAAACCAATAATAACAACAATTTGGGTAATGAAGAATAATGTAGATGTGGAGTCACGTCATTGATAAGTGCCAGGATAGATTAGTCCACTTGGGTGGCCAATCGTATGGGAGCCAGTGAGAGGCCTTCAAGAAAACACTTAAAAAGAAGTAACAAGATGAAAGAATAAGGAGAAGCAGTAATGCGGAAGACAGGAAAGGAGAGAAAGGCAGAGGAAGAGAGGGGTGAGAGGAGAGTAGTGCCACGGAGGGGAGTTTATAAGGTATACAGATCGGAGTTATCTAAAGTGTCAAAAGAGCAGGATCGAAGCGGGAAGGCTGGAAATAGGAAATCCAAGGTCGCCAAATTCTAAAGGAAGTGTGTGTGGGTATCATTTAGGATAGCCGTAAATTTTTCATTGACCATAATCCATTGTATTTTGTGTTTAACTGCCTCAAAGCTCAGCGTGGAGGATTTCCATGACTTGGCTATGACCAGTTTGGTAGCGGTGAAAACATGACCGATTAGGAAAGGCTGCCACTTCGGTAGGTTAGGATTAGGTTTGTTAAGAAGAGCTTCGCAAAGGATCCTTAGGCAGAGCAAGGGAGGTCATGGTTTGGAGGAGATTGTATACTCTAATCCACAAACGTCTGGCCACCTGGCAGGTCCACCAAATATGGTACATGGAGCCCCTTTCAGAACATCCCCTGAAGCATTGTGATGAGTGTCCTGGGATAAAGCTAGCAAGTCTAGTCGGGGTGTAGTACCAGCGGTAGAGGACTTTATATACATTTTCCAAGGTAAGGACATTCCGAGATCCTCGAGCCGTGGCCAGCCATATGTCCTGCCAATCCTCAGATTCCCATCTCAGTCTCCCATTTGAGTTTGGTAAGGACATGTAGGAGATGCGGAGGCAGAGACCAAGGATGCATAAATAAGGGCGATCATAACCGGACTATAAGGGTCGGACTGACATTTGCGTTCGAAGGGGGTCAAGAAATAAGGAGTGGGATGTAAGCGTATTAGGGAGGATATAAAGTGATGTAGTTGTAAGTATCGATAGTGTTCACGTAAGGGTATGGAATGCGATTCTCGGAGCGTTTGGAAGGATTTAATTCCTGTGGAGGTGAGGAGGGAGTAGACATAATTAAAGCCATGTTCTCTCCACCACAAGAAGCTATTTGGTGACTCCCAGCCCAGAGGGAAGAGTGGGGACAGGGAGAGTTGCAGGAGAGGAAGAAAGGTAGAGGAAAGGGAAGCCTAATATCTGAGGGAGTCCCAAATGCTGAGGGTATGAGGCATGGCTGGGCCTAATGGTTTAGGACGAAGGGGGGTGGGGACCCATGGGAGGGAGTTGACGGGAAGGGGGGCACAGTCCAAAAAGTCTAGTAATGCCCAACCTGTGATTTCAGACAAATCACCCAAACGGCTAAGGGTGCAACATGTGCTGCCATGTAGTATTTATGAATATTCGGTATTGCCAACCCTCCAGCCAGTTTGGGCGCAAAAAGTATGTTTTGCTGACCCTAGGCCTGGACCTGCCCCATATAAAGTGAAGCAATTTCCTCTGATGAATGCAGGAACAGGTACTGGCAGAGTAGGAAACGCGTATAATAATTTTGGAAGGTATGACATTTTGAAAGCGTGGATGCGTCCAAACCAGGATATAGGGTGAGTACGCCAGGATTCCAATAAGGAAGACAAGTGGGAAAAAAGGGTGTGAAAATTGGCCTGATATAAAGTGTGGTAGTGGGGAGTCAGAGTTTTCCCTGGATAGGGTAAGGTGGGCGACCAGTGGAACTTGTAGGAGGTTGTCAGAGAAGAAAGTGACAATGAGTTGAGCGAAACAGACATAACGGCCAATTTTTACTGGTTAACTCGGAGGCCTGAGAGGATGGCAAAATTGTCTAGTAATTTAAATAAGTTTGGGAGGGAGGTATGAGGTGAAGTGAAGGAGAGTAACAGCATCAGCAAACATAGAAAGTTTATAATCATGTCCCGCGAGTTCCAGGCCCTTGATATCCGCATTAAAGCGTATGGCTTCGGCCAGGGGTTCCAGAGATAGGATAAAGAGGATCGGTGACAATGAACATCCTTGTCTGGTACCTCTAGAAACTGGAAACAGTAGGGATTCGAAGCCATAATATTTCACTCTAGCCTGAGGGGAACTGTATAGAGCGTTAATCCAGGAGAGAAAGTGCGTGCCTAAACCATAGTGTTGTAGGAATTGGATTAAATAAGGCCAGGGAAGAGAGTTAGGGATAATAACAAGAGTTCTCGGGAGCGGAGTTGGGCTTGGTGTATCAGTTGGATAACTTTGCAAAACACAGTCTCCAGCCTGGCATCTAGGGACAAATCCCACTTGATCTGATTTGATAAGAGAGGACAGAAATGTGTTCAATCTGTTGGCCAGGATTTTTGTGAGGAGTTTCATGTCGGCATTTATCAATGATATGGGTCTATAATTCGTCCAACTATGAGGGTCTTTGTCTCGCTAAAAAAACTTGTCTCACCGCTAAGGTTAAAACAGAGGTTTAGATACACGTTTTCTGCAGAAAATGTGAATGCCGCACAGCCGCGCCAAGGCACCTCTATATAGTGCGGTCCTAACTTCCCAGCAAGCGGCACGGGCGCAGAGCAGACCCGCCACAGGGCGCCTTAAGATTGCAGTCAATTGTAAAGAAGCAGTAGAGCACACTGTACTGCAAGTCCCGGACCCCAGGCCCCATTGTGCACCTATATAAGTGTGACAATTATTTTGTAAGGGCAGTAGTAAGCATAGTAAGAACAAAAAGGAATAAACCCCCCCCAAAAAAACAGTCAAATAATATTGCAAGATATCGGCAGTCCACATAGGGAAGGTTGTATTGGGAAGGGTCAAAGAAATATGGTAATGGATGAGTCAAAGGCCAAAAAAAAAAGAAGCATTTTCTTTTTTCTAGTCCTTAGTTGCATAGTACTTAAGGAGTAAGTCCCAAGGTCCCACAAGAGAGGAGTAACAATAACGGAACATGAAAACAATTGAGAAACAAAATAAACGTTGAACTGTGGATCTGATGCCAGAGTCGCTTAGGGATCTGCAGTCACAGTCTAGCTTAGGCCTACAATCCAAGAGATCCTAAGCTAAGGTAAATAGCACGGATGCATCTGTAATGTACAATGGCATATCCCTGTACGGGAGTACTTGCGACAGCGGTAGAAAGGGTCCGGAGGGAGCCACCTCAACCCTTGGATGGAGCTTGGAAAACTTGAGACTGGAGGCCCAAACCAGGAGGAGAAGCTAGAAGTGGAGAAGGATTAGGTCGGGGCGGGAGCCACCGAGGCCTGGGAAGAAGCAGCGGTATTCCAGGAAACACTTGCAGAGATCCGAAGGAGAAAAGGCGACCCGCGTAGGAGAAGAACAATTTAAATGGGAAGCCCCATCGGTACAGTATATTGCGGGATTGAAGTATCAGCAGGAATGGGCGCAGACTACATCGCTTGGCAATCGTGGCGGGGACAGATCTGCAAGTGATGGGATTGAAAAGCAAGATCCTGTCGACCCCGTGCCGCCCGGAGAAGGTGCTCTTTAGTACCATAGAAGTGAAACTTTACCAAGACGTCACGTGGAGGACCGTTGGGTTGTCTGGGTGCCAGTGTCCTATGAATCCGGTCAAATTTGAGTCTATCCGCCGGGATATCGAGAGCTAGTTCCTGGAAGAAGGCTGTCATTGTGCCCTGCAGATCTTCGACAGTCTCTGACAGTCCCCTCACTCGCAGGTTGCTCCGACGAGCACGGTTCTCAAAGTCCTCAAGCTTACGAGTGAGGGAGAGAAGATTAGCCTGCAGGTCCTCTACATCCTTTTCGTGGCCTTCCAGGACAGTGGTGGCGTCGTCAATGCGGTGTTCAAGCAAAGCTGTACAGCGTCCTATCTGAAGACAGCTTGCGAGAGGCCGTGGCTATCTCATCACGAACTATGGAGCGAAATTTGTGCAGGAGGGTCTTATCCATCTGATCGGGAGGTGAGAGCAGATGGGTATTGGCAAAGGCTATCATCTGTGGAGTTCGAGTCGCCAGCAGAAAGCCTCCTGTTTTCGTCCGCAGCCGGTGGATCAGGGGCCATCTTGGGAGGATGGGTAGACGAGGATTTGCGGCCCGATTTCTGTCCACTCGACCGCATAGAAAGCTTCGGCTTGGGGGGTCAGGTGGAGAAAGTAAGGGGCAAGTTAGCAGTTTTGTTAAAACCTGCGTGCCGTAGAGAGGGAGTGTGCGTCAGGGTGGAAACGGAGCCCAGGCGGTGTGGACCGGGACCTTTAGACGTCCATCTTAGGCTGCTGCGCGCATGCGCCCCCCTATTTAGTGGATTTTGTTCATGGCAATGGTATAATAAATTATAATCAGCACGGATTTAGGAAGGACCATTCTTGTCAGACCAACCTACTAACATTCTACAAAGAGGTGAGTAGAGAGCTGGATAGAGGGAAGCCGGTGGATGTGGTATATCTGGATTTTGCCAAAGCTTTTGACACAGTACCACATAAACGCTTAGTACACAAGCTGAGATCTATGGGCATAGATGAAATGGTGTGTACATGGATAGAGAACTGGCTACAGGAACGTGTCCAGAGAGTATTGATAAATGGCTCTTTTTCAGATTGGTCTATGGTTGAGAGTGACGTGCCCCGGGGTTCTGTGCTAGCCCCCATACTGTTTAATCTGCTAATTAATGATATCTGGGAAGGTGTTAATAGCCATGTTTCTGTGTTTGCTGATGATACTAAAATTGGGAGGGTAATAGACACGAGCTTAGACATTATAACATTACAGGAGGACCTGGATAAAATAGGTGAGTGGGCAACTATATGGCAGATGAGGTTTAATGTTGAAAGATTTAAGGTAATGCATTTTGGGGTTCAAAACAGGCAAGGAAAATACACATTAATGGATACTCCACTAGGGAAGTCAGAAATGGAAAAAGATTTGGCGGTCATAGTAGACTACAGATTGAACAATAGTATGCAATGCCAAGCTGCAGCAAACAAAGCGAGCAGAGTACTGTCTTGTATGAAAGAGGTAATGTACTGTAGAGACAAAGCAATAATTTTGCCACTTTATAGATCACTGGTTCGGCCTCATCTACAGTATGTGGTCCCAGTTTGGTCACCAATCCACAGAAAATATGTCCTTGAGTTGGAGAGAGTCCAGAGGAGGGCAACTAAACTAATTAAGGGGCTGCAGGACCGAAGCTGCAGGAGACAAGGTTTCTAAATTTAAACTTGTTCACGCTGGAAGGGAGGAGATTAGGACGGGACATGATTTTTATATACAAAATGTTTAGTGGTGATGGCAGCATCAGCAATAAACATTTTACAGTAAACTCTATAATAAAGACTAGAGGACACCACCTAAAACTGGTGGAGAAAAGATTTAACCACAAGGGGCGTAGTGGCTTTTTTTTCAGTTAGAGCTGTTAAAGTCTGGAACTCACTGTAATAATTCAATTAGATGGAGGACGGAACTCAGCTGCGTTCAATCTCACGTGCTCTGGCCCAAGAGTACGTGATGGTAAGTAAAAACTAACCAACAATCTCAAAGCATCATAGTACCGCCTCCTAGTACCATCTGACTACTCTGGTTAATGAAGTGGAAAAGGGAAGTGATAATTATGCAAGCATTCCCTGTAGGTGAATCACGTTTCAATAGTAGGCAGTTCAATATGTTACTTCACATATATATTATTATGATGGCAAGGTGGGCACAGGTTACAGATGTATAGCACGATGAGCGGTGCCCTTGGTATATTTTACAAGCACAATGACAGTAGAGAGTGGTTAATGTATTTGAGGCTAGCAATATTGCACGGCCAATCTTCACAGACAGTTCTTATCTAGCATATGCGAGGCAGTGCTATGTAACCTTTCTGGTCATCAGAACCAGAGAGGGATACTTGCGGTTAGAAGCTTCGTGCAGGGAGCTGCTGAGGAGGCAAGGAGGAATCCGAGTAGGTGCGAGGTTTGGGGCTCCAATGCAGCAGATGGGTTATGGGATGGCTGCGGTGGTGTGCAATCTCCGTCTGGCGTTCACCTCAGGATATTGGAACGCCAGACTTCCGTATTGCCGCCGCTTATGATGCGGCGGGGGGAGTTCCCTGATGACGTCGGCGGACCGGGGGCGGAGGAACCCCTCGCGTCCGGGACGTTACACTCACTGCCACAAGAAGTGCTATCAGCTGAGAGTATTGAATCATTCAAAAAACATTTAGATACCTTCCTCAGAGGCCGTAACATACAGGGTTAAAGGTACACTTTAAAACAAGGTCACACAGGGACTTATGTACACATATACACATGCACAACTACATACAGACACACAAAGGTTGAACTTGATGGACCTGTGTCTTTATTCAACCTCAAATACTAGGCAAACTATGTAACGCAGCGTACAATGATCAGAAGAGTGATACATATTGCAAAGGTCAGTAATAACACAGTGCAGAGGTCAGTGGTGTAACTTGAAATATTATAAAATAGTGTAAACATTCCATGAAATCCTTGGGATATGGTAAAGTGTTCATAATCTCAACCTTTCCAGTATCATAACAGTTCCTGTGTGCATATTTGGTGTTTATGCACAGATAAAAGGGTGACAGAATCGCTAAGCATAATTAATGTGTTTGAACTGTGAATAAGCCCAAAAGCTTTTGTTAAGTTTAAACAGGTCTATATAAATTACCTTAGCATGCAGCCAAAAGATCCTCACATTTTTAATGTGACTAAAGAGACTACGGAGTCTATTTTGCAGTTTTTAAAAATCTTTTCATGGACATAAGGTGTAAAAACGTGCTGAATTCTAAACGTGCAGGTGTGGATAGAGCCTCCCATGGGAATGTTACTCAAAAAAAGAGAGCCCATATAATAGGCAATGGAATAGAGGTTGCAAAAATAAGGAGAAAAAGAAAGAAGGGGTATGAAGTGGGGAGGGGATTAGGAGGTGGTTTGATCTTGGATGAAAACCTCTACATACCTAGTCTGCATGCTCATATAAGGAAGAGTCTTTGAA